TCTTAATCTATATCTTAAAATTAAAAAATTCCCATTGTTAAATTAAAAAAATTCATATGACATACGTGCTAAAATGAATATTATTTTTTCCTTTAAATTGGAGTAAAGTTTAAAAGATGTAATAAATATAAATTTAATATGTATATTTAAAGTACAAATTAAATAAATTTATAATTAAATGATAACAAGTTTTTGATAATAAATAAGTATTTTTTTATTTAACAATTAATATTTTACATATTAATGTAATTTAGCTTATAAAGAACTCTTAATCTTGTGTTTTATATTTTAAAATCTTACTATTTACATAAGATTTAACTTTCCTAAAGTAAAATAGTTAAATTATATGTGCCTGTTGGGTAATTTATTTTAATAAAAAAAAAGAGTAACGATTTACGGGATAATGTTGCGGGACGATTTTGGAGACGACAAGTGAATCAAGATCAAATTGATAATTGCTGTTGGGACTGCTTCATTTGTCGTCCCCAAAATCGACCTGCAAAATCGCCCAACAGATCATTACTCTAAAAAAAATGGAATGGGAGAGAACACAAAGAAATTAGAAGAGAATATGGTATGAGCTTTTGATTCTTAATTTTTTTTTTTAGTCTCATATATGACGTGTACTCTTTTATGCTTTTAATTTAAAAAATTAATATTAAAATGACTGAATCACCATCTTTAGTAAGTCGACATAAAACTATTTCTTTTTTCTTCTCAACTAAACAAACCCTCAGATTAATTTTAACAATATTTTTATTTAAATAAAAACAAATGGGGGTGATCCAAGAAATTTTTTTTTTTTTTTAAAAAAAGAAAAACAAATAAAGGAAACAAACCTCATTTTAAATAGAGACATTTCAAACCTCTTCATCAGAAAAATTTTAACATCTTCCTAAAAATCCAACTGGTTCAGCTTAACGTAAGCACTTTATTTGGGTTATTTTGGAATTATATTTATTAAAATATCTGAAATACCCTGGGGCGATGGAAGACGTCATCAGTGGCAAGACCGTCCTTTCAACGCTTTTGGCGCTCGTGCATGGGAAAGGCTGCATCAAACACTGACAACTATTAAATATTATGTCGTGTTTACTAACTCTCCGGCACTGTGCGTGCATCACACTGCAAAGTGGACCAAGGACCGAAATGGCATGTAAGGGTCAGTGAATGCAACACCGACTCATATGCTCAATTATGGTTAAAATACCAATTTGCAGTGGATCGCAACCTTTAAATTTATATCAAAGTTGTTCTTTAATTTCTAAAAATATTAAAATTATAATAATACATAAAATCAAATATTATATTTACCCTAGTAAAAATCTTAGAAGTTAGGGTAATAAATCTTTAAAAATATACTTTCTCTTTAATTAAAAAAATAATAAATAAATATATTAAAATGACCAAAGTATCCTTAAAGTGAAGGGTATATGAGGTCATTTGGCAACATTCTTTGCCTATAAATAGGCCATCATTTGATGAGAGAAAAAAAAGAGAGAAAAGGAGAGAGGAAGAAGGAAGAAGGAGAAAAGGAGAGGAACAACGAGCTTCAAGCTCCCTCAACAATTCTCGAAGTTTTCAAGCCCCAACTTCCTGCCAATGGTAAGCTCTAAATCCATGTCAAGGAGAAAAAGTTTCAAGTACAAGTCTTAAATCCCTTGAAGGATAAGAACAAGCTTAAGCCCTTGCCCTTCAGCCTCAACCTCCTGCCAAGGGTAATCTCCAAATCCATGTCAAGGAGGAAAAGTTTTAAGTGCAAGTCTTAAATCCCTTGAAGGACAAGAACAAGCTTAAGCCCTTACCCTT